TCAACCAGGTTGATGATGATGCAGGAACCAACATCACCTATCTAGTCTTTTATGTGCTAAGTGTAATGTATTACTAAGCCTTCAGTATTAAACTCTTTCTTTGGAGAGGGTCAAATTCCATTTTTAGTGATGGTTCATAATTTATAAGCCAACATATAAATGGAGCCTGACATACCAGCCTTACTCCACACTGCATTTCCCAATGATGTCAACCGTAGTTATGCACAAAGGTCAAGGGAAGATCATTTAATTATTTTTATTTCTGTAGTACCTAACACAGACCAGAACCCCCTTATGCTAGTGCTGTACCAACACAGAACATGGCCTGTATGTAATAAGTACATGTTGTATTATTGTCAATACCTTCTTGCTGAGTTAAGCATCTCTCATTGAGGACAAGGTGGGATAGGCAGGGAACGGGGTGAGCTGCATTCCACAAAGTATTCTAAACACTCACACTTCCTGCTTTTGCAGGAGTGGAGGAATTGTGACTCTTGGAGGTATAATTTTTTTTTTTGGAGCTTCTCCTAGGATGGCACAACTACGCACCTAACTCATGACTGAGACTCCAGGTTCCAGGTAATTGTACAATATAATTCAATAGCCTCAGAGCTTCTCTTATAGAATAAAGAAAATGGAAGAAACAGAAGGAAAAAGGGGTGGAAAGAAAACTCGAATGTATTATTTGCACATTTTTCCACTTTCTTCCAGTTATTGTGGCCTTTTAAAAGACCCCTTTCTTTTCCTATAGGATTGACATCTGAATAGCTTTGTGAGGAGAATAAAATACAAGTCCCTTTTTCACAAATCAATTACTAACATTTACATTGAATAGCCATACTCTTGGCAGCACTTGGTCTCTGTTAGTGAAACACTTCTGGTCACCAAAAGCACTTAGTAGAGTCACCCAAGTCCAGTGTGAAATGGTAGACTAGCTAAGTGCTTATGTGTAAGGCTATGTTGTGGTTTTGGATACTTTTAGTAAAAGTCATGAACAGGTCACGGGCAGTGAACAAAAATTCAGTTTGTGACCTGTCTATGATTAGTACTATATATCCTTGATTAAATCTTGGGTGCACAAGGGCAGGGGGCTGTCAAGGGTGCCACAGGTGCTGGGGGAAAGGCTGGGTGGGGGTGCACATACTGGGACCCCTACCGCTGCTGGGAGTGGAAGCATGGTTGCTGGAGCTCCTGATTCTTCTGGGGGGAAGGGGAGTGTGTGGCCCAAGACTGCCCCAGCAGCAATCACTGCTGGCTGGCCCAGGGCTGCTCAAGCGGTCCCAGAAAGACAGAGAATCCATGACTTCTCTGTCCCCTTTGACAGACTCTTAAGCCTTCCCTATGTCACGTCAGTTCCTTTGAAGCTTTGAAGCTGCTTGCATTTCGTCAAGCTCTGTTGGGAAGTCTGCATTCATTATCATCATTTTGCCATTAAATGTGAGTCACTTAAATATCACGTCACTTCTTTTTTCTTGATTTTCCTTATCTTAACTTAGTAGTCACTATTTCAGTTCCAGAAATGTGCCTCTGCAATTTTAACAAGGCAGGTAGCAGTTTTTGTAGCAAGGCCATTGGCTCCCCTACCCCCTTCTGCTAGTCATAATATGTGAAGTTTACTCCTTTGGGACCTTGTCTTAAAATCTTCTTGTTTCTCTTCCATTTTCTCCATAGGTGCCTTTAATAGAGAGTGCTTCAGCATTTAATCCACCTGTCCTGTGTTTGTGTAATTTGTTTTAGTTTCATTCCCCCAGATAAACTCCATATGAGCATTCATTTCAGAAACAGCTTTTGAAAGAGTTTTCATATTCCCCAGAACTTAGTGCTAACTGTGTGAATATAATTTTTCAACTGACCACCACAATTTCCTGTGAAAGTTCTCAATGCTGAACCACCATTATTTCTTTGTTAGGTAAGTCCTCTGACATACTTCTTGTTGTTTTGCTTTTTGTCAATATGGTCCATTTTTTGTAGTTTATCTTTTGCCTTGCTACTGTCAACACTGTTACCAAGACCTTTGTAAGTAAAAGCCTAGGAGAGATGAGGAGTAGACAGAACAGGTTGCTGTCTTTCCTTTCCCACTCCTAGCATACCTGACATGTTTTGTACTGCTTCTGGTGACATGTATGTAAATTATATAATGAGCAAATTTGTATCTGCTATTAATTTGACTATAGCCATAAACTTTGTTTTAAAAAATTGTATCAGCTTAGCGCTTGTATAGCTTTTGGTTTATCTACAGGACAACAGCAAAGCAAGCTTGCCACTCACAGGGAAGGTCTACACGGAAGAGTTATTTCGAAATAACTGACAATATTTCAAAATAAAGTGCACATCTACACAGCGAGCCATGATTTTGAAATAAGTTCATGATGGTGGACTTCTTACACTGATTTCTGTAACCCCCATTTCACAAGGAGTAAGGGAAGTCAAAGGAAGAGTGCTCTCCCTTCAACTTCCTTCTGTGTAGACAGCGTCAAAAGTTGATTTAAACTATTTTGACTTCAGCGATGCAATTGATATAGCTGAACTTGTATAGCTTATTTTGACTTTTGCCCTGAAGTGTAGACATGCCCACAGTTCTGATCTTGGGAACATCTGCTAAGAAGTTGTTTAGTCACTGAAGCAGCCAGTTATTGCAAAATGTGTTGGTGAGCTTGTGTTGCAGCAACTGGGCCTGAGACCCACCAAACTCATCACCTAGGGGGAACCACGAAACGTCCACTAAACTGGACTGGATTCATACTGGTCACCATCAGGTTTCAAAGCTCACTCACAATGTTTAGAGACACCCATCCCCTTCAAACACTACACCTTAGAGATTGAAGCGCATTTTCTAGAAAGATGAGTTGTTAAAGTTCTCACCTTTTTGCAGAAGTAGGGTCACCATTCTGCACAAAGATCTTCCATCCATTGCTGTCAACATTAAATCTTGACCCCGCTGAAGTAAATGACAAAATTCCCATTGAATTCAGTGGGGCCAGAAGTTCATCTTCACTATTCTTAAGCTATTCCTATAATTTGTGTCCCACTTAGTTCTTAAAAAAAGACACAATATTCCAGGAAATGGGAGTTAAACATAACAGGTACAAAAAACAAACAAAACAAAAAAACCCATGATATCCCCATTCACTTCTAAATATAATTATGCAATAAAAAGTAATTTTGACAATTATTCCAGCATCTTCCCCTTAATTTACATATTTTAACCCCAGGATCCCTCAGTCAGGTTTGAAGCCACAATCTTTGGCTACATAACAAAGACCTTTTCCACTTCAACCATAGGAGTATCTGGTGGGCAAGTTCAGTGTGTGTATGTGTGTGTGTGAGAGATATAGTTTATCATTGACTTACATAAATTAATGAACTAGGATGTTGGTAGTCAGGGTTCCTGGGCTCTCTTCCTGGCTCTGGGAATACAGGTATGGCTTAGTTAGCCAGAGAGTATCTAAGTATAACACCGCCCTTGTCTTCGCTGGCTGGAGTGGATGAAGCAGTAATCTCTGAGCATGAGCTTTTACCATTTAATCTAAAAAAATAATGCCTTCTTAGCCTGGAGGCTGTAGCAAACTTACTAACCTTTATATGTATCTAGCTACTAGAGAGGGACAGAGATCTTTATTGTGTCTGTGGACTACACAAGTTCATAATCTGCTCCGTTTTCTCTGATAAGCAGTGTGGCTTTACTCTGTCCCATGAGTCAGATAGCTTCTCCTCTCAGTGTGCCTCCACTAACTATGTGCAATCTCTGTTATCTTAGCCATTAAGTGGTAGTCCCTTCCCTTAAGATAGGAGTGAGGCCTTGAAGGTTATGAAATGCACAGAAATATTAAGACCAATTGGGAAAAAATTAGATCCAAGAGGCTTTTGGCTTGCCATTCAGTGTGTCTTCCCTAAAGGCTACAGGTTATTAGGATCTCCTTTCCCTCCTTTTCTACCCTGCAATTCAGGGGTCTGCCTGGCATGGTGCACTTTTCCTCAAATGTGCCTCAGGGCTGATATAATTTGGGCTGGAGAATAAAAGGGTTCTGCTTAGCCGAACAAGATTGCTGCAAGTGGGTTAAGAAACATCCTCACCCCAGAGTTTGCCCTCAAGTGCCTCCTCTGCTGGAGTGGGGTGAGGGAGTTCAGGAGTGACCAACGTAGGCCTTGGTTCCCACTGCTGCTTTAAATCCCTTTGCTGCTGCTGGAGTGCCCGAGGATTTGGTCTGTAATGCATATAGCACTACAGGTAACCCACATGAAAAAGGAGCTTTGAAAGAAAAGAAAAATTAGTAGCACACTTAGCTTTATTGAAACTGAACAAATAACTTTTTTTAATAAATGCTTTTACAGCAAGTGTAAAATTTTTAATGAACTTGTTATGTTTTCTTACAGTTTGTCTTTTGTCTGTGTAAGCAAAAATACCTTTTTTATTTCAATTTTTATTGTTTTTCTACTTTAAAACACGTAGCAAGGATTTGACCCACGTAGCTCTGGCACCAAAAGGTAACAGGTTATGAAAATCACAGTACAGTTTTAAAATTCTTAGGTTAGTCAATGATATTTAAAATGATAGCCACTTCGAGTAAAGATATAAATTAGAGGTCTGTAAACAAGTTGTGTTTACCTACAGAGCTATCAATTGCAGCTACAATGAGCACAGTAACAAAAAAATCAATGCTAAACTGAGCTACACCAGCCAGGAAACAAGATCTTAATAAATAGTGTGGTACAGGGTAGCACAATAGGAAAAACACAGTTTGGCACCTCAAGTTGCATGTAAAAACAGAAGAAATCAAATGAAGTAAGTGCACTCTCTTAGAACAAAAATAAAATGGGCCGTTTAACCGGTTTCTGTGAGTGTCAGCAGTCAAATAAATAGCGCAATACACAAGTTTGACCCCCAAATTGCAATTCTAATAAAGCAAGATAATATTAAAATGCACACTTACAAGGGTATTAAAGTATAAATCATTTTTCCCTGTTAGTAGAAATAAGTTACAACGCACAAAAGGACTTTGTGGTGAACTGCTAACTACAGACATTTTAATGGAATGTAGCTCAGTAGACTTGTTTCAAATAGAAAGGCAGCATTATCCTGAATAAATTTGGTCCTTTTATAACTCACTGTACTGTAGCCACTACAGTCCTATAGTAGGTGTTTCACATTGGTTGTTTTTATTTTTATTTTTTTCAATATCTTCATGACACAGTTGGGTAACATTTCTCCTGTTTAAGAATGCCTGATCAATGCAGAATCTGGAAGAACAATATTGAGTGTCCATAAGGAGATCCTTAGTGCATGGCCCCACGGCTTCTTGTTCTTGCATTCAATCACTTTTTGCCTATGCTTTGTCTTCCCTTCCATTTTTTTTTTGTCTTATTCTCTTCAGTAGCACGGGTGAAAAAAATTCCTCAGTCCAAATTACAGAAAGACTCACTGTTTATTTACAAGCAAATCACTTTGGCTAGAAAGTCCCAGCACTCCAGAGAGTTGCTTATTTCTTGTGAATATCCTCATGCCGTATAATTTTGTACGTAATCCAGTAAAAGATGTTGAAAATGAGGAAGGCTAATGGGAATGCAGCTCGGGATATTGTATCAATCCTTTTTGCACGGTCAACAAACTTCTTTTTGATGGACTCGGAATCCTTTGGTGGTGCCAAGGGAGGGTTTGGAGGAGTGGCCTTGACCGCGGTGCCATCTTTGACCTGGAGACAATGACCCATCCCATAACCACTGAAATTGAATCGACTGTCACGGGTGACATCATCTTCCTGGAGGATAAAGGAGAGAAGTAAGAGAGAATCAATTGTCTATATAGAAAACAATTAAGGTAGTGGCATCAAGGAGTACTGCATAGTTCCTTAACAAGCCAACAGACAAGCTTTGTGGGTGTGTGGTATGAGTTAATTTAATTCTGCCTTACAAAATTCCTCTGGCTCACTTGTCTCAAGCTGGATAATATTTCTGACAGGCGGGTAAATATCATGCCCTTTATCGTCGTCCTGATAACTAGATGATGAAGACTTTGTACCTGAGGTGGTAAATTTTCATGACCATTTTGCCAAGCTGATAGAATAACAATGTTTGAGCTACAATTACCATCCATGGATTCCCATCCATGAATGATTCCCAACCAAACAGTGACTTTATTCTCCTGCATTCTCCTCAGGAAGAAATGCAAGCCCTAATGCAGCCCTAGTTTACAAAATTGATTTGGCTGAGGACAAGGCCAGTCAGGAAGATCTGGAAGAGCACTGAGAACCCATCACCTGCTGTGCTCTTTATTTCACTGTTATATTATTTCACTTTTTTTTTGTACAGATGTTTCACTGTTGACTTTTTAAAATAAACTCTCCTTAGAGTGCAGAGTGCTCTCTCATGTCTCTAACTCACCCACAGCTTTCTGATGGTGGTAAAACAGAACAAGGGAGTCCAAAAAACAATGGGCCAGATCCACAGCTAGGTTATGTCTACACATCAGCGTTATTTTGGAATAACTGACATTATTTCAAAATAACAAAGAGTGTGTCTACACAGCAAGACATTATTTCAAAATAATGTAAAGCTGGAGGACTTCTTACAAATTACTCCTGTAACCCTCATTTCATGAGGAGTAAGGGAAGTTGAAGGAAGAATGCTCTTCCTTTGACTTCCTGCTGTGTAGACAATGCCAAAAGCTGAGAAGCTATTTCGACTTCAGCTACACAATTGATGTAGCTGAAGTTACATATCTTAATTCGACTTTTGCCCTTGCTCTGTAGACGTGCCCCTAGTGTGAAGCTTTCTATTTCCACTTTCTCTCCTTCAGGTGTATCATTTGTACCCTCAAGCTTGCTTCACTTACCTTACTGTTGACGTGCTGATGTAAGCAAGTAACAATGCAACACAAGCCCGTGATAAAAGAAATGGTTTATACTGAAGTAGGGTAAAAGAAGTAAAGACAACAAATAGTGCTTTGGAGACCCAAGTACTTTGGCGTGAAGAGTGCTATATATCATACTCACTAGCAGGGCTTGTTTCTATTTGGGTCCCTTTCATCTCAAATCTTCAGCAGTGTGAAAGTGAAATGTTTTACTCTCTTTTTTTCTGATTTATTTATTTACAGTTGTCAGGCCTTCTGGGAAAAGCTAAAAAGGTAACATTTCTGCTCATAGTCGCTATTATAAATAAAGTGCTTAATGAGGAGACAACTCAGACAAGAGTTCAGGATATGGGTGCTTCTGTTGTATATGATATTCCTAAACCCTGCTACAGCACAGGGAAAGGCACTATCTGCAATGCTTTCTGTGTCACTTGCCACTGGAGATGAAATACAAATGCAGGATGTGGAAGATGATTAAAGGATAACAGATTTTCAGCAGCTGTGTTAGCACATGCATTTGTTTTAAATGCAGACACATATTCTATAATTTGTGAGGGAGACTTGGGAGGAAGATAGGCTACTGAACTGACCACAGCACTGTGAGACTCTAGAGTTCTAGTCCCATCTCAGCCACAGCCTTGTTGTGTGTTGCTGCACAAATCATTTCAGTGCTCCAGGTCTGAGTCTGTTCTCACACTACTGTAAATCTGGGGTAACACCCTGGGAGTCACATCCAATTTATAGCAGTGTAATAAAATGCAGATTCTAGCTCCTGTATTCAATTTTCCCCATCTGCAAAAAAGGAGTATAATAAATACTTACTTCATGAATTGTAAGGAGTAAGTAATTTTCACATGTGCAGGATATGAAAGATAGAAAATTCTATACAGCAGGACTGCAGCAGTATTACCTTTATTAGTTTGGTTTGGATTTTAAAAAGAGCTTTTCCAGTAACTTTTAAAAATATTTAGGGAAAACACATTTTTTTCTTCAGAACCAGCAAGCACAAATATGTTCTTACAATAGGTGCCAAACTGGTTAGTCTCTTGAATGATAAATTATTCTGACCCAATGCCTGAAGGTGGTGGGGAGGAGGAGAAAGAGGTGTAGCTATTTTATTTATTGAAAATACACTAGTTTTTAGGTGCCTTGATAAAATGCAAAACACAATCCCTTATAATGAAATAGAATTAATAGAGAAATAGCAAAGCTCCCAACAAACCAGTGTCCTGATGCAGGAAACATAACTCAACTTCCTATCCTTCTCTTCTCTCACCCCCAAATCCCTCCATCCCCGCACTCTAGCTCTTCCCAAAATGATGGCCTTTGCTGTGTGCCTTGTACATCAACAGACTCAGGCTTGTATCAGATCAAGAGAGGGGGTGAATTCCAAATTGAAGGTGTTATTTCAGCACCAGCCCCTCCATGTACTTGTATCCCAGAAACAGAAAGCCAGTTTCTCAGGTCACAGCTAACCACAAATTTGCCCTAGTTTAACTATAGTGGTGTAGATTTAAATAGATTTAATTCAACCAGTTCAGGAGTATGTGCACATAAAGCCTCAGATAGTCAAGTCTTGTACAATTTATAGCTTTATAAATTAAAAATCTGTTAATTTCCATCTAGAAGCCAACAAACCACCTCTGCAGAAGATAATGCATCAATGTCGTGTGCTTGCTTAAAAGTGGACTTGCTTCAACTGCTAAATGAATGCAAGATTAGTTAGTGCTGCATATTGTTGTTATCCAATCAAGTTGTAATGAAAATAGGGGTAAGGAGGGAAGGGCCACAGCTAAGTGAAATAGTTCCCCTCTCCTAGCCAGACACAGACAGAAACACGCCTCCCTCCCCCAGCTATTTTCACTTGTTATGATCTAAGAACATACCCAAATTCCTCACTTTAGTAATAAATGGACACACCCTCAATCAAAGAACTAGCTGTTGGCCCACATCCTGAACAGTGGTCAAGACACATTCAGAAACCAACTCTGTGATGTGGAAATGAAATGTACCAGTTGCCCTGTAATATATTCTTCTTAACTTCATGGACTCTTAGGGACATAAGGTGGGAGGAAGAGCTTGTAGTTTAAACAAAAAACAGGACTATGTAGCACTTTAAAGACTAACAAGATGGTTTATTAGGTGATGAGCTTTTGTGGGCCAGACCCACTTCCTCAGATCAAATAGTGGAAGAAAATTGGCACAACCATATATACCAAAGGATACAATATTTAAAAAATGAACACATATGAAAAGGACAAATCAAATTTCAGAACAGAAGGAGGATGGGGGGAGGAGGTAAATGTCTGTGAGCTAATGATATTAGAGGTGATAACTGGGGAAGCTATCTTTGTGATAGGTAAGATAATTAGAGTCTTTATTCAAATTTAGGTGTAAAGTGTCATCCTCCTTCTGTTCTGAAATTTGATTTGTCCTTTTCATATGTGTTCATTTTTTTAAATTGTATCCTTTGGTATATATGGTTGTGACAATTTTCTTCCACTATTTGATCTGAGGAAGTGGGTCTGGCCCACGAAAGCTCATCACCTAATAAACCTTCTTGTTAGTCCTTAAAGTGCTACACAGTCCTGTTTTTTGTTTCAGCTACACCAGACTAACACGGCTACATTTCTATCACTTGTAGTTTAGTTTGTGTAACAAACTGTAACTTGCATGGGGTATTAATAAATTAGCAGCAAGATTGAAGTACTTTGCCCCTTCCTTAGTGGTTCATTCCCAAACTTTCAGAAGAATTGTGCTATGGAAATTAAATATATTTTCTAAGGGCTAGGAAGATAATATTGAAAATGTAGCACAGGAATCTATTTCCATATGCAGTTATATCTTCTTCCTGTGTATTAGGTGCTGGCTGCAGAACAATGTTTATAAAGGAAACAGGATACTAAGCAGTGAGGGGGAGTTTCTACATGATTTGATTTATTTTTTCTTCTTTATGAATGGGATCAGTTTTTGCTCTAAAAGCATTAGATCCCTTTGAATTGGATCTTGAGTGGGCATAGTCATATGAGATCACATTTCAGGACAATTAACTCTGTTGCTTTCCTTTTTCCACCTTACTGTAAAACTCTGCTTTTAGATGAGAGGCACTACAGATTGCTTCTTCTAAGGCAGGAGTGAGAACCTTTTTTGGGTTGGGGGCCACTGACCCACAAAAAATCAGTTGGGGGCTGCACACAAGTGGCAAGCAGGGAAAATCCCTCATTAAGGCCCCTGATTAAGAAGGAGAAAGACACGCTCCACATTCCCCTCACACTCCAGAGCCCAGGGGGCCCTAGCCTAGTAGATTGTGTGTGCGCCAGCTCCCAGGGGGGCAGCAAGGAGGCTGTAGCACCCGCGCGGGCTCCCCAATGCTGGGGGAAGGGGGAGCTTCAGCCTCAGAGGCTGGATCCAGGCAAGCTGAGGGCCACATCCAGCCCCCATACCTGTGGTTTCCCACCCCTGCTCTGAGGTCTTGGTCTAGAATCTCTGCATAATTAAAGCTTTGACTGGCTCTGGGTCTTATGGTTAACTTGTGGCAGTTAAGAGATGCGGAAAACTTACTAGGTTATCCAGCCCGTCCCTTAGCTGATGCCGGACTGTTATTTCAGTATATCTTCTAGAGAAATGTCAGCTATAATTAAACTGTGAATAATAACATTGAACTCAGACAGGTGTTTTCAAAATTAAATTAAAACTTTGCATACGTAGGTGTTAATAATTGAAAATAAACCAGTGTTGCACTGAACTAGTCACGAGCTACTGATCAGGTATTCTTGTAATCTACTGGCAGGCACTGATGTGGCTCCCCATGTGGTGCTGCAGACACTGTAGTGGAAACTGGGGGTCGGGGCAGGGAAGTTTCTCTTCAGTGGCTCTTTACCTTCCTTTTAGAGAAGTGAACCAAGATGA